AGATGAAGAAACTGATATGTTTGAAGCTAAAAGTGATGAAGAAGAAACCAGTGATGCAACAGAGGCTTATTTCATGTTTAAAATATTGATTTCTGATACGTCCTATACATGGAGGCGTTTTATAGATGAAAAATACGGTATATGTCCCCCCGTGACCCTTAAGAGAACTATGGGGAAAAACACTTACCCCATAGTTCTCTTTTAACCAGGCCTCAGATTCAGTTCTCGCATGGAGCTCTTCTATCCTTCCTGCCATCCCACATACCAGAGACAGCACCTTATCAGCCAATAGAGGGGGCATCTAAACACACAAATGATGATGATGACTTGGCTAGCCATAAAGGTTCTTTTGGGCACTTTGTTGTGCATGCTGTTGATTTATAGCATCTGTTATGAAATAACTGTGTTGAGTTCACTTTAAGAACTTCCATCACATTTCAGTAACGTCGGAAATAAACCATCTCCAGTTCTCAGTTATGCAAATTAGTAATCAAAAACTCAAAGATAAAGTCTCATTAGTCTACTACAATCAAATCAGCACCAAAATTACTTCCTAATGAAACAATGATGAGGGGCTTAACATCGACAACATTATGCTAACATGATTAGATAGGTGTTTTTTCTGCTAATGGTGAATTAACGACTTAGATTTAAAACATGCCAACTAAAAAAACAACAAATATTTCCATATCATTGATTTCTCTCTCTGTAAGTTGTGGTTCACTCGCTGCATAGTAATGAAGTTCAGGAGCAAACTTACTAAATACAATTTCCATCCAAACTGACCACATAATATAATGCTAAAGCCAAAATATAATTATATAACAGCAAATTCAGAAAAAGACAACTCAGAAAAGAGTCCCAAAAACATTCTAAAAACACATCAGAAGTTTGATGTATCCAAAGACATGGATTTCCTCACAGCCACCAATTCAAACTTTGAGGGCCCTTAAGACATGAGTGGCCTGCTACAGTGCATTACCGCATGTGCGCTAATGTGTGTTGCTTTAGGGCAGCACATTGATTTTAAATGCTCAGGGGAATGGATAGATGGCACTGGATCCCTGAAGCTTTTCTTATTACCACCCAGTGATATGAGGACAGTGTTGATGTATGGTGTCTACAAACTAATCTGGTAGCTTCTACAAATCATAAGCGCTTCCAAGTGAAAGAGTGAATCTAGAATTGAAGTGCCCCACCGTGATGTTGGAGTCCAGATACAACTGTATTGCAATAAAAATGTGAACTATGCACAAACCAACACGTTTCAGGGGCTAAGCCTTGCCCCCTTCATCAGGGCTGTAAATGACAAAAAAAAATATCCGTAAGTGTAACATATAATTACATTTATAACATGATTCTCATGATTTAAAAGGAAAGTAAAATGGTAGAAAAACACACAATAGAATAAATATTGATTCTATCATGTATTTTTATCCTATACTACCTTTAATTTAATATGTCTGTGTAAAATCTGATTTCAGATTGGAATAAAATTGTATTTGGACAGGACTATAACATTGTGGTTTGGCACTTCTACATAAACTTAATTTAAACGGACATAAAAACCATACCTGGAACATATTGCAAATGTACTATTGTACACAAAGAATTGGATATGTGTAGTGGTGTGCTGTATATATTGTGGTATATATTTGTGCACTGGGGAGCCATTATAAATAAATGCCACTGTTATGTACTGCAGAAACTGCCAAGTTTAAACCTGTGTTGCAGTAATAAGTGGTAAAATCCGTGTCCATTATCAGAACGCATAGGTGTCAAGCTAACCTCAGAGCAAGATTGGATCTGGTTAGAGACTCAGGGAAAGTAATGAAATGTTTTATATGTACTGCACATGTTAATACATCAAGACTTAAGTGTTAAACATTAAAGGAGAACTATGAGGTGAGTGCTTTTCACTCACCTCATAGTTCTAGCCGACCTGTGACAATGAAACTGTCACAGGCCGGCTCAGTATATCGGGAAGTGAGCGAACACATACCGGCGTTCGCTCACTTCTGGATCCTGTCACGGCTCTCTGCCGTGACAGGGGAGGGGCTGGATTCCTCCCTCCCCGCTCCGATCCTCCAGCACTGACTGGCAGAACGGACGGGGGAGGAGGCGGGTACAGCTGGCTCTGCTTCTAGATAGGCAGAGCAAGCTGTCACTCACGCAGCTGGGCGGATCCAGATATAATTGTCGGGATCCGCTTCAGCTGCGGCGTCTCAGTATACCGCGAGCTGTAGCTCGCGGTATACTGAGCTTAGGGTGACGGGAGGACAGTTTGTGTCCTCCCGTTACCCTAAGGAGAACTATGGGGAAAAGCCTTAACCCCATAGTTCTCCTTTAAGTGTGGCTACTCCAGCTCTTTATAACATAGCTATCAATTATGGGGGCACCCAGAGAAGGTTCGACTCCCAAAGATGTGAAAATAGAATGGGTAGAGTCCCAAAACAATTTTGGGTTTGTCTGGTTTTTTTTTTTAGTTTTTTTTATAGCTTTTAATATTGGGTGCAAGAAAGGGAAGGGGGATGGGCGGACGAGAAGCCTAAACTTCAGGAAGGCTAACTTTGATAAACGACGTAATATTGTGGGTGAAATAAAATGGGAAAACTTATTTCATAAACTAAACTTTGACCAAAAGTGGGACTGTTTCAAGAACAAATGAAAAAATGCTATTCCCAGGTGTATACCCCTCTGTAAGAAAAATAAAAGATCGAAAACAAAGCCAATATGGCTAAACAAAGCGGTAAAACAACACATTAAGGAAAAGAAAGTGGCATTTACTAAGTATAAAACAGAGGGGTCAGTATTGGCATTCCAAAAGTACAAAGAATGTAATAAAAGATTTAAACTGGTAGTCCGGGCAGCTAAAATTGAATGTGAGAAATATATCGCCATTAGTAGTGTTATTAAAAGGAACCCCAACATTTTTTATCAATGCATAAACAGTAAAAAGTGGAGAAAGGACCAGATAGGCCCAATAAAGGACATAAATGGGACGTTACTCACAGACGACAAGGAGAGGGCCGAGGCGCGAAATACTTTTTTCTCGTCGGTATTCACCAAGGAAACAGACGGGTTTAATGTACTGATAAAACACAAAATTTAACAGGAAATACACCTGAGTGGTTGACTGAAACTGGGATACAACATAGGCTTAAACTACTAAATGCAAATAAAGCATTAGGACCTGATAATCTACATCCCAAAGTACTCAAGGAGCTGAGCATGGAGATAACAAAACCATTGTTCCTCATTTTTAAGGAATCGGTAATGGCTGGTAGAGTGCCAAGCGCCGGCGAAGGGCAAATGTGGTACCTATATTCAAAAAAGGGTTAAAATGCCAACCAGGGAACTATAGACCAGTTAGTCTGACATGCATAGTATGTAAACTGTTAGAGGGAATTATTAAGGATTACTTAGTGGAATTCGTCCGGGATCTTGGCATAATAAATGATAACCAGCATGGATTTAGGAAGGATCGTTCTTGTCAGACCAACCTGCTCACCTTTTACGAAGAGGTAAGTAGAGATGTGCATAAAGGGAGGCCGGTGGACGTGGTTTATCTGGACTTTTCCAAAGCATTTGATACGATGCCACATAAACGCTTGTTATACAAGCTAAGGTCTTTGGGCATAGATGAAGTAGTGTGCACGTGGATAGAAAACTGGCTAAAGGAACGTGTACAAAGAGTATTGCTAAATGGCACCTTTTCAGACTGGGTTGAGGTCATGAGTGGCGTGCCCCAGGGTTCTGTGCTGGCTCCAATGCTTTTTAACCTATTTATTAATGATATAGGGGAGGGAGTGAGTAGCCGTGTTTTAGTGTTTGCTGATGATACGAAAATTGGGAGGGTAATAGACACGGATTTAGACATTATAACATTACAGGAGGACCTGGAGAAAATCGGGGAGTGGGCAACTGTATGGCAGATGAAGTTCAATGTCGATAAATGCAAGGTAATGCACTTTGGAGTTAAAAATAGGCAAATGGACTAAACACTTAAGGGTGCGCCACTAGGGAAGTCGGAAACGGAGAAGGATTTGGGGGTCATCATAGACCGCAGACTAAAAAACAGCTGGAAGTGCCAGGCTGCTGTAAACAAGCCAAGCAGAGTCCTGTCTTGCATTAAGAAGGAAATGTATTGCAGGGACAAATCTATAATTTTACCACTTTACAGATCACTGGTTCGGCCGCATCTGGAGTATGCGGTCCAGTTTTGGTCACCAATACTCAGAAAAGATGTCCTTGAGCTGGAAAAAGTCCAGAGGAGGGCAACAAAACTCATTAAGGGGTTCGAGGACCTGAACTATGAAACAAGGCTGTTAAAATTAAATATGTTCTCGTTGGAGGTTAGGAGATTAAGGGGGACATGATATTTTTGTATAAACTGTGCAATGGTGACAGCAACATTGTTAACAAACTGTTTACGGTTAGCTCCGTATTAAAGACCAGAGGGCACCAACAAAAATTGGTGGGAAAAAAAATTCAATACACAGGGCGCAAGGGGTTCTTCACAGTTAGAGCGGTTAAGGTCTGGAACTCGCTGCCGCAGGAAGTGATTTCAGCTAAGAGTGTGGAAGCATTCAAGAAACTCTTGGACGAGTTCCTGGGAGAGCATAATATACAGGGGTACAGGTACGCCTAAGAACAAGATCACACATGGACTCACACACACGCACACAGCTGCTCAAACATAAATGCACACACGCAATAGGTTGGACTTGATGGACTTATGTCTTTATTCAACCTCAAATACTATGTAACTATCAGCTACCTTGCATATTGGCAGCTATCCAAGCTTCAGAAAATTGGGCACATTCTTAATAGGTAACAGGTTATCTAAATAGCATTTCCATTAAAATCGAACAAAAACATTTTGTTTTTATCCAAGTTTCCTATACACAGGTATATGAGACCTTCCGGTTTTACAAACTCTGGCCCACAAATTAAGTATATTAATATTTAAAGAAATGTATTAGTTAATACCAACTTACCAAGTTGAACAGGAAGAGCGCGTATTGGGTTTCCTTCTAATAGAAGGTACTTTAGTAGCCTATGGGAAGGAATGTAAAGCATTTATCACATGTACTGTAAAAAAAGAGGGACAGACCTAATAAAAGTAAACATCTAAAGCCATCAATTACAGAGTTAAGAAATAATGATACCTGTGCCACTGAGCCCCTTTGTAAAGGTAACAATAGAATTTGGCAAATACAGATAAAATAAATGATTATGTAGTTTTGGAACCTTTAAATTATTATTTTGAACACAATTACTAATCTGTATCTATAAGAAATTGCCTTTGAGATAGGGTTTAGGGAGGCAGTTGAGCCTTAATGCTGTTGCTATGAGTTCTCCTCACACAGTCATTGTCTGAATATACTTTCTAGTAAAAATGTAAAATTACCTCTACCGTGCATGGAGGAAACATTCTATCATCTCAGGACTTCTGATTTTTATCCAGGCATGGCTGTAGTGAAAACATCCACCCTGTGCTTTTTGAACGTAATCTGCTGACCTGGGCACCATTTTTGCTTTCTTGTTTGTAAGGTAAAATCTGACTGGACTAAACATAGCGTTGGGAGCCCACTCCTCACAGCGGCAGATGCTTATGTCATTTCGGCATTCTGCTGAATGCTGAAAGTAGTAATAAAGACCAACCCCAGTGGGGGTCTTGTGAGATCCCAATCTTCTGAAGGCCTAAGCCACCAGCATGCGGTCCCCGCCACTATGTGTGAACTAATGCGTCCCAACTCTTTGTAAACATTGCAGTTACTCCTACATGACCATGCAAGAATCTACACGGCAGTATACCAGCTTGTCTGTTTCTCTATAACATTCATCATCTGCTGCCACTAATGTAGTCAACATGCACCCATTACTGTGCAGTTGATCTGCATTGCACATGTATGAGACAGCAAGCAGGGAGGATTCTAAATGTGAAAATGCTCTCCCTGTGCTCCAGGACACCCAGCATGTTGGCTCTATATGAAGCAAGGCAAGCACAAAGAACAGCAGTATATGCTACACTGGTACCTGTGTACAGGTTTCTGCTATCTATTCTTGTTTTAATTATTTTGTAACTGTTTCAATAGTGGAAAGGCCTTTTTAAATTATGCATCATGCAAAGTAAATAATTCACAGGTGCGTGCGTTTTAAAACGTTCTCAGTTTCTTAGTTGTTTTTGCACGAGTGATGTATGAATTCAAGGTCAAAATGATAGGTATTGCGTATATTTGGGGATTGGAAAAGAACTCACAGTTTGGGAATCTGACAAATGATTTGCTGACAGTTCTTCTTCTTTGTGTGTTTTTTTTCTGGAATGTATATCGTGTATAACAAACAATTGTATTGCACTGCACTTAATTCAATCAGCTTCACCTAATGTAGCCCTATAGGACAAAATGTCATCAAAGCTGATTCACAGTAGTAAAAATATGTTGAGTTGCTTTATTTATTTTGTGTTTGGATGCACCGATACCGGTTTTTCTGTATCGAGTGCGAGTGCCAATATTTTGATTTCGTTACTCACCGAGACCGAGTACTGGTGCTTCCGCTTGAATGGACCCACCTTTCTGGGCGATCAAAAAGACAGGGGGCAGGTAATGACATACCGGCCTGCTTCTTGGTCGCCCTGGAAGCCGGCTGCATATTGTTTTGCCGCCTCGATTGTGATTGGCCAGGAAACCGGCTTCCCAGCCAATCAGCATCAAGCCGACTTCCCAGCCAATCAGGAAGCCAGGAGGCGGGTCATTACACTTAGCCCGGCTTCCTGATTGCCGGGAAGCCGGCTCCATGTTCCCCTACGGCACTGCCGGTCAGAATAAATTTTCCTCTGACCAGAAGTTCCGGTATCGGGGAAGGTATCGGAGCATTTGGACGAGTACGAGTATTCGCCCAAATACTCGGTATCGGCACAGATACTAATATCGGTATCAGTGCATCCCTAATTTTGTGGGATAGACACTGGCTTTGTGTGCTACATAGCTACAGTACATTTACATTGGGGTTGATTTAGTAAAGGTGTGGAGAATGATCACTAAGAAAAATGAATGTTCACTCCCCCCCCAAAAAAAAAGTTTGTTCACTGAAT